TGGAACGTAACTCACCTTGAACGAAGCTGCTGATAATCTGCGCGGGGAAATCTCTGTCTGCTGCTGCTCCGGAAATCCTCCGGCTATAATCCCCACAAAAACACTTAGTCAGAGTCTGATATCTATTCTTAGGGTAAAATGACCATTTTACCCCTGACCAAGTCCAAGACAAAGTCAAAGTCAACTTCCAGTTGACCCGACTCGCCGAGTTGGGCCGCCAACTCGTCGAGTCCCTATCCTTTCATCTGTCCTTCTTCACGCCTCTACTCGTCGAGTTTGGCAACGACTCGACGAGTTCTCCTTCTAGAACAACCCGGACGAACCTTCATCCGACTCGCCGAGTTGTATGAACAACTCGTCGAGTTCATCTCCTTCCTATAAACAAGTCCTGTCCTCGACTCGCCGAGTTGTATGAACAACTCGTCGAGTTCATCCTCAAGAGTTGGGAGATTGCCTTGGACTCGCCGAGTCTGTTCATGTACTCGTCGAGTCCTATGAACTCCAGGACTATGGCTTATCCCAATACGTTGGGTCACTCATCCGGACCCTCTAAAACCTTTCCAACACTCCACTGGGTCTCCTTGACCCATAACAGAAAAGGGGAGTCTAACCTCGGACTCGCCGAGTCCCAAGAACGACTCGTCGAGTCGGTACAGTCCAAGTCTTATTTCTTCGATTTCTGGTGTACAACTCTTGTCCAAATGACAGAGCTAGGTCCCTAAACTCGATCTAGCACATAAAGTTACGAACTTCACGTGCATGCATGGGACTTTGAGCCTAAAAGGCTCTAAAAGAGACTCTTGGGTGCATGGGGGCTCCCATGGGTGCAAAAGCAGCTCTTATCTGCCTTGTAACTCCTTCATGGACCTAGATCTGAAGCCTCAACCCCCAACCATGCTTGCAATCATGGTTGGTTACCAAAAAGGCTTAAAAAAGCCCTAAATCTCCCCAAAGAGGGATCTAGCAAATGAACAAGCAAGGTATCGACTTTATACCTTCTGGGAACTGCAAATGATGCACAAACTTGAACTCCCTTAGTCTTCTCTTGATTCCTCCAAGCTTTTCCTTCTTCTTTGAGTTCAAAATCACCACAAAGCACCACAAATGCCTTAGCTCGTTATACAAACGGTTAGGGTTTGCTATGGGGGTTTTCTGGAAGCAATAGGGACGAAGGGTGGCTGAATGAGATGTTTAAATATGGTGCAAACCCTTAGATTAGGGTTTTGTCCAGTCAGAGTCTACTCGTCGAGTCTGGAAGCCGACTCGACGAGTCCGTCATTTAAATCCCAGATCAAATCCGTTTCTACTCGACGAGTTGGTCCTTCAACTCGCCGAGTCCCAGGCCAAAAATGCAAAATACTTAAATAAAATACATACCAGGAACCAGGTGCTACACATCAAGCATACTTAACTACTTCTCGGGACCGCCCCGACATCGGACCGAAGTCCGGAAACAAATAAACTGCATCGAGCTAACCCCGACATACTATACTACTTAAACGGGCCGACATTGGTGCCTTAGACCCGTTCCTACTGGAGGAAAACTCACCTCACACTGCTGAAGCCCCGCTGATAAAACCCTAGCTGCTGGATGACAGATTCCCGAATCTGTCAACATCAAAATAACACCCAATTAATAATTGGGTTCTAACACATATTCATAAATCCATGCTTGGGGTAAAAGACTACTTTACCCCCTAACTTAGCTTGACTCAAGCCCAAGGCCCAATCCAAAGGCCCAAAAGTCTAATAATGGACCAAGGCCAAACTATGGCCCAATTTTCCAAATTGGGCCCAAACCTCTACATGGTCTTGCCTTAAGGCCCAATCATTTATTCTTGGTCCAACTCTTGGCATTCTAAGGGCCCAATACCATATAATCATCAAGGTCCAATCTATGGCCCATCTATGGCCCAATTTTCCAAATTGGGCCCAAACCCTCATATGGGCCTTACCCTAAAGCCCATCTAAATGTTCTAGTCCATAAGATTATTCTTGGATGGCCCATATTGGCCCAATTACCAAGGCCCATTAAGGACTTAATCCATTAAGTACTTTACTCTACTAGATAAATGATATGGAATAATCTGGGCTTAATACACAATCCAATCCCAATGGGCCAAAAGTGGGTCCCAATTAGTCCAAGGCCCAAAGTATCAAGAATTAGGGTTTTCTAAACCCTAATTAGGGTTTCCCACCCAAACATGGCCCAATAGGCCCAAAACTAATCTTTAAGCCCATTAGGGTTTTGCTAGTGGGGCACCACCCACTACCACCTCGGGTAGTGGTGGTCAATTGCGGCTTACGACGGCGCCCACCACCTATGGTGGTGGTTATGGTTCTTTTCATTACATCTTTTGATAATTACAATTACAAAGCTTTTAATCCAAAATAAACACACACACACATACTAACTACTCTAACACACACACAACCACCCTAGTGGTGGCCGGCGGTGGCTCGTGGCGGCAGCCACCACCTTACGGTGGTGGCGGTGGCTATTCTCGACTTTCCGGCTAAACAAAACTACATACAACACACACTAAAACACAATACGCCATCACGCACCTAAACACATAGCAGCACACGCACACAGCCACTTTCCACGGTGGCTGGTGGCGACGGGAAGGGGGCAGCTAACGGCGGCAGTTGGTAGTGATCGGAGACGGTGACTTCCAGAAATCATGGAGAAGAGAGAGAGAGTTTGCAGCCGCTACCACACACGAAGCATACATCACGCAGCCACTCCTCTCGGTAGCACACGCTTAGCCGGGATAAAATGGTCCGCCACTTGGGATGGTGACGACGCGAGACAACGGAGTAGAGGAAGGAGAGTACGGGAGCAGTACGCACGGAACTTCGCTTCCCGGTGGTCCTTGCTCTCGCTGACAGCAAGAGCTTCAGCGGCTGTCCTCAACTTGCGGCTCCCACCTTCATCATCGACTGGAAGCAGATCGAAATGGAGAAGAAATGGGAGGAGGAGAATGATAACGGAGAGCGACGAATGTCTCGGATGAAGGAACAATGCAACAGCAGCCTCGGTACCCGTCATCGGAGTCGCAAGGGGGTTCGCCGGCGGTTCACGATGGTCTCACGGAGGCGGCGGCTGGACGAGGGGTGATAAGGTGGGGGTGGCGGCTGGAGCTACAAGTTAGGGTTAGGGTTAAGTAAAGCATATATACCCGACGCCTCCAATGCTCTTTCCCATAATAACACAACTAGCCCCTCTTCCATAAAAACCTTTTCAAAACAGCCCCCATATTTACCTATTACACCTTTAATCTTACAATTCTTTTCATAATCAATCCAACAGTTACCAAACAACTCCTCCCTTACAATTTATTTTCCAAAGAAGTCCATATATTACCATTAAGCCCTTAGCTCCCAAAATCTCTTCAAATTAAGTACCGTAAGTTACCATTTAGTCCCTGAGCCTCCAAAATCTCTTCAAATTAAGTCCCAATAGATTACCAAGTAGTCCCTGCCCTCATAATTATTTACAGAACCAATCCAAAACTTACATATTTAGCCCCCGACTTCTAATATTGTGACAGTTAACTCCTCGAGACCAACTCTTATTATATAATTATTGACTTTAGGGCTACTATCCATTCATCAACTTTATCTATTTATTTATTTAATAAACGGGGTGTTACATGGAGACTTTTGGAGTTGATTAACACTTAGGAACATTTGATTTCATTTTGTAAGCACTTTAATTTCATTTTCTAGACTTGTGATCTTGTTCTAGTCATGTGTGGCTAGAACCCTAAATTCTCCAACTTTATGTTTTGACTCTTTGGTTGTGATTTCAATTATATGACTTGATGTTTGTTTTATATCTAGTGAATTTGATTTTGTTTCAATCGAATGTTTGATTCTAATTTTATTTCTTATTGGCCATTTGAATTAGGGTTAGATCAATCAAGTTATCTAAATTGCAAAATTCGTAATTGTTTTGTGAATTAGACTAAGTAACAAGCACTAAACTGATTTTCATTGAGCACACACTCTTACGCCCCTGAGCTTGTGAGGGGTATTGGGTGTTATTAGGAACATCCACATCAAACTTAATGCAACCTTTCAATCTAATACTAAGAGCTTATTTATGTTAGGTTAGTGAGGTTAGGGTTAATCAAAGAGCTTTTTTTGGTTAATTAATATGCTGAATGAGAAGTGTTAGAGCTTGTTAGTCATCATACATAGAGTTGGAGTCTTCACAAATCCTGAATTTGCTTTATTTAGTCGATAATTTACTTATCGTTTTATTCACTTGCTTAAATCATTGCACATACCCCCCCCCTTCTGTGACCATTTTTTGTACCTTACGCAAATAGGTATATACTTTTGTCCCGTGCCTCTGAGGATCGACCCTGCTTACCTTATACTACTATTTAGTGCATTATAGCAGTGTATTTGGAGTCGTTTTGTACCCCTATTATTTGTTAGTTTTGACACACCTAACACCAACATTGTTACACTTTTGAGCATGTAACTGACTTATTTCCTCTAGACATTCTAACACAATTAGCCACCTATGTAGCAACTTATTCTTCTTTTCTTTTTTGGTTTACCAATAGTTACATGATGCTTTGGTGGAAAAAATTTGGTTAGACAAACGCTTTTTCCCACATGCTCCTACCATTAATTGGTTCAATTTTGAAGGCATACATCTCCTCCCATGGATTTAACCAATATGATATGTTGGATGAACCCATGTTTTAGGTATCCCAACCTCCTAATTGTTGAGCCTCATATCTCATATAACTGCAATAATGTGATTATAGGGAATGAAGTGATTTCTAACTTGTTACAGTAACATTTTCGTTGTCCCATGACCACACATTGGTCACATCCTTACCTTGTAACCTGGTACTTACTATTTCCACAAAACACAACCTTATACTTTGTTGCATCATTTTTCGTTGTCCCATGACCACACATTGGCCACCTCCTATCAGAAGTAACGCCATATGCCAAACGAAGAAGAATTCTTCCTTCTAATACTTTATGGAAGTTGGAAGACCGTTACAAATCTCTACCAAACCATGACAGAGAGATAAGGATACCCAATCTTCGTTAGACATGGGGACGTACAAATGACGGAATATGGTGATAGAAGGCGCAACATCCAGGGCAGAACATAGCATCACAAAGCAGACAATCTTCCGAAACCCGTTTGGGGTAATTTGAGCAATATGTAGATTATAGTAGTTTAGATCCGTTTTCAAGAAGCCGAACGCTGGAAGCCGCAAACCAGACTTCAAAAACACTCGATACACACCGACAAATCCCTCCGGAGCATCAACAATGGTATTCCAAGGATCCGACAAACGTGGATGAAATTGGGGATCAATTTCGTACTTCTTCATGATGTCTGCCAGTGTTTTGGGGTAAGTTTGGACTTCATGATGCAAATGCTTAAAATCTCTTTGCTAGCCATGCTGAAAAAATAATAAAGGAATAAGGTGAAGAAACGAGAGTGAAGAATAATTTGAAAGGCGAAACATCTAGTGAAGAAATATAAGCCAAAGGGAGAGCGATATTTATAGGAAATCAATGGCGAATTTATTAAGGGGACAAAGTAGCGGTTATGCACTATAACGTCTTTAAATGGAAAATAATTGAATAGACGGTTATAAGCATAAAGATGAACGCTAGAAGTCGTCGAACAGTCATGTTGAAATTGAATTCAGGTGTTTATACTTATCTACTCACAACGGTTATATCGCTAATACACTTAAGTTTGAATTATTACTTTATTTAAAAAAAATAAGTTATAATCCAAACGAGGTGGGAGGGGGGGGGGGCTTAATAGGGTATAGAGCCTCAAGCTGCACATATACCATCGTTATACCGAACCATATATGTATACCGAACCATATATGTACATCGAACCAGACATATATATCGAATCGGGTGTATATACCGAACCAAGTATGTGTACCAAACCACAAAAGTAACAACTAAAGTACAAAGTGTTGTCATAATAGTGTCAAAGGACAATGGAACTCAAAGAGATACAGCCTGTACTACTATGTGTGATTGATTGATCCTTTTACTAGCACGAAATAGTTGTAAAACGGCTAATAATTACACCAAAGTGTACCTTCAGGTATATGACCATTAATGCGACAAGATGGTAATCCTGCTCGGTACATGAAGAGGTCACCACCTGCTAATATCGACTATAAATAAGTAACCAAAATCACTTTATAATGTATGTAATCACACATACACATTTCATTGAGCTCAATACGACTTACAACATATTTTCTTAAGGTCATCACTGACTTTATCATGAGAGCATTGACCCGGTCAATCCACTCATGAGTAGTTTGTTGTCTCCATGTTTATTGACTATAAAGGAATCGATAACATCAATAATCAATGGAAGGTGAATCCAAGGGCGCAACACACTTAAAATCAATATAGACGTGTGTTGGTGAACTTTTAACAAAATCATTGAACTTGATGTTTTTTAATTTCATGAGCCGCATAGAGATATGAGTGAGTGATTTTTAAATCGAATCATGAGATCGGTAGGTAATTGATAACTTTAGATGGTGTTAGCAAATTTATTACCACTACATTTTTGTTAGTTATTTAATTGCATTTGATGTTACATTGATCCAGTAAAAGTCAACTAAACTCTACTTTTCTCTTGTGTGAAATCCACAATTTGTGCGCTTGCTTCTTTTAGTCACTTTGGTCCTTAGTATTGTGTTACTGATTTCATTTGAGTTTCTTTTAGAAATATTAGTTGCTTGTTAATTTTATTTTATTTTTGTTTTTTAAAATTAGTTTTTATAGTTTAATCAAACCAAATCATTTTTAACCAACAATTACCTGATTTATCTTCCTTTAAGATAAATAGTCCATGTGGGTACGATATATGGTCTTACGACTATATTACTTGCACGACCTCGTATACTTGCGAGTATGCGTTTTCGTCAACACTTACCAATGTTGTTAGGATCATACTATAGGATATAGATCATTCATGAATGCACCGTCTAATCCAAGTAAGTCTCTTCTTTATGATGCAAAACTTCTTTTCAATGGCCAAAGACACACATATATGTCTGAAGACTCTGATATCATATGCATAGTTAGTTTCATTTTCCACTTGCAGCTTGACCGTGGTATTTGGGTTCCGAACTTGAAGTTCGTATACGTTTTAACTGTCCAATCATCACCCTTTTTCCATTTTACACTTATTAATTCTTGAACCTTTAAATTTCTTATTCTTTTGACTTGGTCCAACTTTTTCACTCTTTTGACCGGGCCTACAAGTTTCAAGTACCCCAAGATTCGAAATCGTGTCATTACAAACGACCATGATCCTATTTTTATTATTTTAACCATCTCAAATTCTCTTATAGTCTCTCTCACATGCAAGTATAGTATTTATTTCACCTCATGAGAGGAGTTGAATGTTTGTGTATATAAAAAGGATCACTCACTTTAGTTGAATCATTTTTGTGTGCCCTTTTTATAACCTTGATTTCGTTTCTTCTTTTACTACCTTGAACTTCATCAGAAGATCCAGATAAAAAAACACTAGTGTTACATTCTTATCAAATGTTACAACATCATATGTTACATCATCAAGAATACCACCAACCCAATTCATATATTTGTCAATATTAAGTTAACATCTTTCATGTCTATAAATGGTCCCAAAATGTTATCATGATACATACAAAAATCACTATCCTTGCTATCACTTCCATCATCGTACCATAATTGGCATTGGAATCACTGCCATGGGGTAGCTAAACAAAAGGTTTTGTTACAATGGAGGAGGGTTCCATGCTAGGTTGAGAAACATAACAAGTATCAACTGAATGATCACTAACAATGGGGGCTTCTACAGTCATATACTCATATAACACATATCAGTCCTCACTTGTCCTTATGTTACAAACATTGGTGAATGGTTGGATACGTTGAGCTTCTCCAGTTCAAAATATTTGGCTTTGGATATTGTTTTCATGGCTTTGGAGTTACCAGGCTTTTGATCCAAAGATTTTCATAAGGATTCAATTTAAAAATAGAATTGTTTCATATTTGTTTAATTAGTTTGTTCTTAGAAATAGTAACGTCAATTCTACGTGTTGGTTACAAAATCTTCTATTAGCTATCCATATGTAATTGTTTCCTTATAGCTTCTTGCTACTTTTATAAAATTCAATCTTTCAACGAAATATAAAAAATGAGTAATGAACTACTATTTTTTACAAAACACAAATTTTCTAAAAAATTATTATAAGAAAGTAAGCAACTAAAACATCTTGTCCACAAATTACCATTATTTCAATTATATATTTTGTAAACACAAAATAATTTGTTACCCATTTATGATACTTTTTTTAAACACGTGTTTTATTAAAAAAAAAAAAAAAAACAAATAGTTTGTTACACTTTTATTGAGTTAACCGTTTTTTATTGTTAACTCTTAAAATGACACTCTAGCTCCATTGAATAGACGATCATGGTACAATCCTAATATTTATGTTGTCTTTTTTTGAGTGCTTAATCACTACCAAAAAAAAAAGAATAAAAATGCAATTCACCAAACCATCTACTAACGTCTTAATTTGTCTCATGAAAAGATACGAGCAGCAGAAAAAATGGAGGTAGAAGGCATAAATGAATAAATCTACAGCTTTGAATCTCATAGTCCATCTATTCGAAACTAGAAATGGAGGTACTAGGCATAAAAGTATGATGAATAATGGAGAACAAACTTACTTGTAAAGCCTTAATCTCAGTCACCAGGACTTGTAATTTCATGGATGGGATCTATGGAGGTGTCTTCGGGTTGTCCCCTTGCCTTTTTCTTAGACATCCTTCTGTGTTTTACTTTAATGGAGGAAACCGCATCTTCTCCTGAATAACCAAAGCCAGACCAAATAGCTTGTTACCATATATTTAAGATGTTAAATTCGCGAGGAATTGGATGAAGCTGTACAGGGATTCAGTGGTCTTACGATTATTTCCGCTCTCCGATCCCTCTGTGACATTTCGTCGAACACCTTCCGACGGTTCGTGAACGTTACTAACTTCATCATCGATTTGATCATCGCCTGTAGGAGGCAACTCCGGTCCGATAATCTGTCTGCGGTGGGAAGCAGCTTCTTTGAGTTTCTTTCTTCGAAGTCTCTTCCTCTGAGCTCTTGTGAGCTTTTCAGACCCTAATTCATCATCTTCCTCGCTTGACGCAGATAAGTCCATTTCCGCTTCTCTCTCCAATTCATCTGTATCTATAAAATTTTCGAAAATTCAGAGTGTCAAGTGTATAGACAGATTTCTCAGAAAGTAGCTTCAATTTGTGTTCACATAAACGAAATAAAATCAAACTTAAACCCACTAATACGATGATGATCTGAATTGGCGATTTCCCGGGCTAAATCGAGGGATTGTTGATCATATTTGTTCTCAGGAGGTGGTGGCGAAGGTGGAGTATAGAGCATGTTGATCAGGGAATCATGAAACTTTCGTTGTCTCTCCTTTCTCTTCATGGTGCTAAAATTGGTAAACTGGTGGAACAAAAGCATTCGTAACAGACTAACAGGTTTTAAGGGATTCAAATGAACAATTTGTTTCCTGAAGGGGGTAACTTGTGCTTATCCTAAATATAAGATATAAGATGTCATTAGCTTAAAATTTAATTACTATCTAACATGAAGTTAAAAGCTCTCATGGCCGGACCATACGCTACCCTCTGACGACCTCTCTCATACCCTCATATCTCACAATGAAACAAGTAAACATTTAGGTTTAAGTGTATACAGTTATTTCAAAATTCATTTATTTATAGTGAATGTGATGAAAACTTAAAAAAAAATCAATAGTTAAGTTTATTTGATTAGTGTTAATACTTAGTTATAATAATTATTGTTGAAACTTGAAATAAAGTTTTTTGTTGAAAATTTTCTATATCTTTAATTCGGTGACTTTAAGTAAGCATCAAGCATTTAAGCACGTTTTTTTAGAGTTATTTCAGTTATTTTTTATTTTCTTCAAAACTTAGTTAGTTATTACTTCTCTCTCTAGTTGCAATAACAAAACTAGTAAACATTACGCAAGTTTAGGGTTATTTCAATTTGAATTTTGACATGTTTATCTTATTATATAATCTAACTTTTGTCTAAAAACATATGATAAGGGGTGTCCATGTTATAAAATTTGATCAAAGTTTTTAAATTTATTTTTGTCCATATAACCATGAGTCATTTAAATGCTCTAATTCAGGTTTATCAAAGTCTAAGTCGTTAAAATTGTCTCTTTTGGATTTAGGAATAAAACGTAAGATATTGGCATTAAAGCATTAGTTTAGGATACTAATTTTGGTTATGAAGTACATGTTGTTCGGCTATGAAGCCTAATATAGGTTCTGGAATAGATGAATAAACTAATAGAATATCCTACTTTTATTTTGTAAGTGTTGTATCCCTTCTCTATGTGTGTGACTGTGTTTGTTTTTTCTTATTAATGCATTGCACATTGAAAGTATAATTATATGAATGTGTATACTTTGAAAACAACCATCCAATTATAGCATATTAGCATTGTACTTTTAAAATAAAATGTTTTAATAAAGAAAAAAATAAAATAAAATTATAGAAATAGAATTTCGAATAAAATTATAATAACATAATGCTTTAAAGCACAATGGTTTAATAAGAAAAAATTCCTAATTATATATTACGCGGGGAAAAAGTTATGCTACCCCTTAAACTTATTTTTTAGGTCATTGAAAGTTGTAACTTTTAAAGATACTTAAAATCAAAGCTAAAAAATTCTAAAAAAACTACTCGAATAAGTTTTTGGATTTTGAGATTTTTATTTAAAGTTGAAATTAAAAGTTTCTAGTTCCAAAATACGTTTATGGACTATTTTGCATGAACTTTATATACCATCCGTCACAAAAGTACATAAACTATCAAAGTTTTTCCTACAAAAAATAATTTAAAAAATATTTAGTCTAGAAGGTAGTCCATCAAAGCATGTGGTATTCAAATATATTACAACTTCTTTGAAACACTAATTCAAAATAATCAATATCAACCAAAACAATGTATCTTGTGTGTCTAAATCTTGCATTTTGCCTCAATTTCAAATTACTCTTTCTTGGATTATCCTAAATCCGGTTTCGTGATACTTCCTCCAAGAGTAGAGTCAAAATCATATATTTTGAAAAGTTTTTTCACACACGATCCTCGAAACATCCAAATTATAATTGATATTTGCTACTCATTCCTTCTAACATACCTCATATTCAAATAACATGCTATAATAATATATAACCGATATTTGATACAAGAAGCTAAACGAATTACTTTTTGGATGTTTCATTCACGAGTTACTGCATATGTAAGCAATCTAACAAAATTATGGTTTATGATAAGAGACGTATTCACCACTAGGTTATGGTATTGCACCTTATATCAAACCTCGTGTCTCGGTTGATTCCTTCATCAACCTTTATGTATGTCTGGTAATGTTTGGCATCAAATAGATATGGTTTGTTGCTTTCCAAATACGTGAATTATTCAAAAGAGGGATATAAATTGAATTGTACGTCAAGATGATCAAACTATCATATTGGACTATTATACCTAAGAATTGAAGTGTATGTGATAATTCGTATCCAACAAAAATATTTATGGAGCACAAACGTAGGGTACAAATAACTTTCAAGGTAAACACGATTTAATCATCATCCAAATAATCTAATTTGATATACAAACATACGATTTAATCATTATCCAAATAATCTAATTTGATCTACAAACATAGCCTAATCTCAAATTTCTTCAACGATATATCATTAAGAATCTTGTTGCAGGAAGTAATTATAGCAACCATGGGATCATTTACATCAATTTTTCAAAACTATGAATAATCTTATTAAATGGTGTAAACTACATGACCAAAACTGCAATTTACTCTAAACTAGATTATGTGTGACATCCTCAAATTCACGGTCATTTTAAAAATTTTATTTATGCTTATTTAAAAATCAGAGTATCCTTTTTGAAAAGCAGTATTGCGGAATTTGTTCTCAGAAAAACATGATAATAATATTATCAAAGTATTTCCAAATAAATGTATTTTATTTATATTAAAACATTGCGATGTCATCGTCAATACAGAAACATAAGCATAAACAGACCTTACATTCATTTACACTAATGATTTACATCTCCTTTAATCTCTCAGTGCAATGTGTCTTCATATCGATACATGTGATACAAATAAACTGAGTGGGTCAGGTTGGGAAACCTGGTGAGTACATAGGGTTTTCAACCCACAATAATATAATTATTATGTTTGATCATCAAACAATTAACCAAATTACTCATCCTCGTTATCTTCTTTATTATTAAGTATCTTCCCTAAGAATCATCTATTCCTAAATATATTTATTCCTAAGGATTGTCCTAAGGAATAGGCACGAAGTCCATCGCTTCCAAGGTTTATATAACAGAAACTAAGTCCATAGTTGTCAATGTTATCTATTAGGCACGAAGTCCATAGCTGCCAAATATCCATCTATAGGGCATTAAATCCATAGCTGCCAACGTTCATTTGTAAGGCACTAAGTCCATAGCTCCCTAGGTTTTTTGAGTACATCTGGTGAACATATCGTTCACAACACCTACAGGTTACGAGCCTACTAACGTTTCACTAGACTGTCTAGAATAGTCTCTGGTTGTCATCTATACCCTGCTAGATGATTGGTGTAACATCCCAAAAATACAACCCAAAAATTTTTGTTTGAAAACTTTACTAAACTATAATATCAAATATTAAAAGATAAAAACCATGAATCGTGTATCTCAAAATGTCATAATAAATTTATCAAATCGAAACTAGTGTCAAGATCATATCAAAATATCAGAGTCTAACTCCCAGGCTAAACTGCGGTATGTGTCATGCCATCATCCTGAGCCCTTCCCTTTGCTAGCTGAAGTACCTGAAACCAAAACTCAAACTGTAAGCACGAAGCTTAGTGAGCTCCCCCAAACTACCACATACCATACAATAACATATAAAGCACATACTGGGCCTTGCCCACTGCATCGGACCGAAGTCCGGAACTAACTAGGGCCTTGCCCACTGCATCAGACCGAAGTCCAAAACTGCATCGGACCGAAGTCCGGAACTGACTAGGGCCTTGCCCACTGCATCGGACCGAAGTCCGGAACTGACTAGGGCCTTGCCCACTGCATCGGACCGAAGTCCGGAACTGGCTGAACATAGCATAAGATAATCATAGCATATAATATGAACACATATACTGCATACTGCACCGGACCATAGTCCGGAACACATAACACATACCATGCATGTATCACAAAGACACCAAGCATACTGAACTACTGCATCGGACTGTAGTCCGGAACTCCTGCTAACTAAACGGGCCGGCATTGTGGCCGTAGACCCGTTCCTACTGGAAGGAAAACTCACCTCGTAAGGCTGGCTGCTGAAATGCTGCTCGGGAACTGTCTGACTGCTGCTCCGATAACTCCCCGGCTATAATTCCCAAAAGACACTTAATCAGACACTGATAACTAATCTTAGGGTAAAATGACTATTTTACCCCTGGTCAAAGTCAACAATCCATTGACCTGACTCGCCGAGTTGGGCCGCCAACTCGTCGAGTCCCTATCTTTCCTTCTACTCCCCTTCCCGACTCCACTCGTCGAGTTTAACCAAAACTCGATGAGTTCTCCTTCTTTACTGATATCCTGCCAACCTTCATCCGACTCGCCAAGTTGTATGATCAACTCGTCGAGTTCACCTTCAACCTAAGAACACGTCCAGTCTGTGACTCGTCGAGTCCGTTCTTACGGGTAAGGAGATTGCCTTGGACTCGCCGAGTCAGGGCGTAGACTCGTCGAGTCCCTCTACACTCAGATCCATGTCTTAACTCACTGATTCTTTACTCCACTCACTAAACAGACTCGCTACTACTGAACAGGGAATCTAAGACTCGCGACCTGACTCGCCGAGTCAGAAGAACGACTCGTCGAGTCCTTTGCATGCAGTTTCTATTCAGTCGATTCTAATCAGTTTTAGTGCATCCAATTCATAGATCTGGGTTTCTTGGACTATCTGAACACGTAAAGTTGCTAACTTTACGTGTATCTATGATGAAATGAAGCAATAACACTCAAACTTGGCTATTATGGGGGTTACTTGTCTAGAACAAAGCCATGGCTGCCAAAAGGTGGCCTTCTTGAGCTCCTGGAACTCAAGAGAGGCTAGATCCGAGATATGGCTTGATTACAAAGCTTCATCACTAGGGATTTGGGGTTTTTGAGCTCAAAACCATCAATTTGGGGACAAACTAGATCTAGCAATACAATAACCAAGATGAAAGCTTTATTACCAGAAAGGATGGCCAAAGAGGAGTATAATCTGGATCTACTTCTTCTTCCTTGAGTTCTTCTACCTTCTCCTTCTTCTTCTTGCTCAACAATGCACCAAGATTCCTTCACAAGGGCAAAGATCACTCACACACACTTCAAGGAGGCTAGGGTTTCGGGAATAAGTCTCTGAGAGGTGAAGGAGGCTGGTTTGGGGCTATAATGGTGTTTAAATAGGGTACACTCCCTGAAAATTAGGGCTTCATCCAGACTGGCGGACTCGCCGAGTCCGGAATATGGACTCGTCAAGTCGCCACGCCAACTCCACGTGTTGACCCGCTGCTACTCGACGAGTTAGGGCCACTGACTCGTCGAGTAGCTTCTAAAATAAGAA